ACCATTTATTTCTTAAAGAGGTAGGCAGAGGCGCGAGTATATCATATATATATACATGGTTGACTGTTAGAGAATGCCAGCCGGCATTAAGTCCGCCATCGTATGTTATATACAGAAGTGCATATAAAATTAAAAAATTAAAAATTTATCCAAACTTTTCGTCAATCTGCAATTGTTATACCAAAGAATTTGAGGAAAATCTATGTTAAGAAAGAAAGAAAGAGAAATCGTTTAGATAAACATTTCCGCGGGCCTTACAATGTATTCTATGTGCGACTTTAGTAAAAACAATTGACACGCGCATAGCAATGCAACACGTAACTTCATCTCAACGCATTCCCATGCAAAACTGAACTGAATCATAGAAACACAAAGATAACTTGATAATGGAGTGCTTATCTTCTTATATTTTGTGATATTGTGCAAAACAAATACAACTTATTATGGTAAGCGTAAAGGTGCTTGGTTATTCTAGGATCAAAAGATTATGAGTTCATTTTTTAAATAGTGTTTGTTTGTGACTTCTACTTATCTATGTATTACACCCTATTACAAAGGAACTGAGAATAGTCAGATATAACTGGCATAAAGAAGCGTAGTCCAGTATGAAATAGAGCTCGTTTTTAATTTAATTATGTCATGATACTGTAATAAAAATATTGAAATCCATTCGGTGTTTTATTTAAAGTAGGATCATAATTATTTTCAATTAGACAAACAAGCCCGCCTCAACCTCTCAAAGCCACTGCAACTCCTGTAAGTCAGGATCTACAGTAGATACAACCATGAAAAAATCGGAACACTGAAGTCTGGCGCGTCACAGGCTCTTGCTTCCCGCAATGAAATTAATCAAAAGATATTATAAGAGGGGTGTCATCAATAACACTCTGTTTCTTGTATAAAACTTCACTAATTAACAGCGTTCAAACCCATCAGACCAATGATAAAATGCAGCGCACACGTAATCTATAAACAAACGTCACCGTCGCACTCCATTTACTATGTAATCGATGTACAAAAACGTGTGTATACGTAACTTTTGCATAATTGAGACTTCTACACACCTACAGTTACTGTTGCGTTACTGAGATACGTAGAATTGAATAAATCTCATAGTTTTATTATATTTCCTAGTATTCCATGTCTACTGGATAATCCCGGCTCAAATTAGAATAGATACATACTACTGAGTAATTGTGTCACAATTTTCTAAAACGAAAATAACCAAAATTCTTTACAGTTATATGAATTGGAACAGTATTTGTTGGTTTGCTATCCCAAAAACGAACCCGCGCACGCCTCAAAGAGCCATCAAACCACTACGGATGGGGCCCAATAGGGCTGATGCCGATACGGAGCTGCGGAAGACGTATCGGGTTACCGGGGCTCCGGCTCGAAGCGCAGGAGAAGGAACAGGGTGGTTTTTAGTCAGTAAGAGTCTGACACTCCCTTCCGCCTCACCCAGGCGGGAGCAGTCATTCGATGATTTTCCCCCCTTAAAAAAAAGACCTAGTAGTTTCCTTCTACTCCAGAACATGTCTCCCTCGATTACTACATTCATCGGTTTTCGGATTTGGATAAATGTAATCAGCCCACTGTTACTTCAGCTTGCTAATACTTTGATCTATGTTGATACATTTGGTTCTCATATCATCACCTCGTTTCGGTCCGTTTTTGTGCATCCATTCTAACTTCTAATTTTCGTTTAATACTCGTAAATTTTAATACAAAATGACGTAAACATTGCAATACTAGGCTTATCAAAATAAATATGAATAAAGTATTCAAACAATGTTTATTAATGAAATATTGAAATGAGGTTTCAATGGGAACTAGAGCAGATCGGTCGCGTTATAATATGACTAAACTGCCTCAGTTTATATGTTTATATTATGTTTTTATATGCCTAGTTAGCAGTTATAATAAACAGAATAGACTTATCTGATAATGATACAAAGAATAATTATTAACGTATTTTGTCTGATGTAATTAAACAGTATATTTTTTCCGTCCAGTTTGATTTATTTTCTCCTTGCTATAATCGATTCTATTAATCATAAGCTGTTGGGTTAAAAAGAACGAATACTTCAGCTAAACTGAAGAACAGCTGATTTTTTGTATGTATTTGATTTTTAGGCAAACTAAATCTATCTGTACGCGACGCACTCAAATACTACTGAACACATTTTTATAAGGGTAAGGTTAAGTACATACTCTAGTAGATAGAGTACCTAACTATTAACAAAGATCTAAACGAGATACTGCATGCTGTATTGATATTGTAGTCGGAAACTCATATCATTATTATCAACAGCCTATAAATGCCCACTGCTGAGCAAAGCCTCTTCTCATACGGAGAAGGTTTGAGCATTAATCGCCACGTTCGCTCAATGCGGGTTGGCGATCACAAACTATGTAACTAGCTTTTACCCGCGGCTTCGCTCGCGTCACAAAAGTATAAAAAGTAGCCTATGTGACATATACCAATACACACAGCGCCATCTATACCAATACTTTTGTTTTTCCTCGGGAATATCATTTTTTCCGGGTTAAAAAGTACCCTATTATTTGATCCGGACTTCTAACTTTACGTCTGCAAAAATTCAAAGCAATCGGTTGAGTAGTTACGGCGTGAAGGTGGAACAAACAAACAAACAAACTCACTTTCAGATTTATAATATTAGTAAGGATTAGAAATTATAAGCCCAGGTTTCCTCACGGTGTTTTCCTTCACAGTTTGTCAGTGTAGTGTATAGTGTCTAGATAATCTTAAAAAGCTACATAGTGTTCTATAAAGTCATTTTTGCGTCCCACTTCCTCACACTAATTTAATTAACAAGCAACACCATGTTTTACATTGTTCACGTAATATTTTGACGTTCACTGTCGAAAAAAACAATTAATAGTAAGTTTTGTAAGGTGCGGTAAGTTGGACACGCCTCCACGATGTAAAACATTCATTCACCCCCATCTCAGGGGAAATATGATAGAAAACGCCGGCTTTATTAACATTCTACTTATTTGTACGGTAAAAGGCTTATGTTATATATGTACCTACTACGTATATGTAACTACTATTATAGTCACATCAGGACACACGACAGGAGATAGCCATTAAGGGTCGCCGTTACCGAAATCAGTAAGGAGGGCTATATACAAGGTGTAGTTTTGAAATCGTGTCATTTCTCGGGGGCATATCACAGAAGTCATAAAGGTTCAATGTAAGAGAAAGTTTTGGGCCAATAGTTAAAAATGCGGCTATAATAAATCGTTTCAGTTCGACAGTATTTCAGAATAAGCGACAGCAATGTTTCTTATTTGAGTTTTATGGAATTAGGAATATGTAATATCAATTACGTGTTTGAGTTTGTGTGTGTTGAGTCGCGTTATAAAGCTAGTTACAAGACGGCGGCGTGTAGTTCGCACTTACGGATTTCCGTAATTTACAGAAAAATGAAAAATATTTACCTACTCTTTAATAGATACTCTACCCAAGAATTTACATGTTGTATAGATCTCATTCATGTCAATATTGTATTTAGTAAACTGGTAAACAAATATTTGTGCCAAAATATTTTAAGATACGGTACCTAGCGCCATCTATCGTTAAGAAAGAACCGTGCATTGCGACAAGAACATAACGTATTGGTAATTTTAATAGGTCTTTGTACATGATTTTCTTATATGTATCTATCGCGATAATAAACAGACCTTAAGGTTAAAATAGTTTAAAAATATTAGTAAAATTAATATCTAAACGACTCACCTAACCCTCAAACGTCGAAGGGTGTCATTATGTCCACTAGGGCTAACAGCCTGAAGCTACACTCACCCTTGAACACAATATTAGTGTAGGTAATTTAATGATGTGTTATTTGTAACAACAGTTTCCAATTACTGTAATTTTCACTCAGATTTTTACTATGATTTTGAGGTCAATTTGCACTGTATAAATAAGCAAAAACTAATTGGGTAATATTTAAATTTTGACATAACATAACGTCTTTTATTCCCGGAGGGGTAGAAGTGCACATTACCGCACCTAATGCAATGTACAATGTAACACCCACTTTCCACTATTTATGTTATAAGTCCTATGTAATAGGGGGTCAGCCTATTCCAATTTACCGGGCACAATTCCACACCTCGTGCTACAACTGAGAATTTTTAAAGAACCCAATAATACTTTGTCTGACCCGGGACCACCCCTTTGCGACCACTGAACCAACGAGGTGATTATTTTAATTTTGTTGTTTTACTAATCTGTGTTATACCTAATACCTAGAAGCCTATAATTTGCCTAACCCATAAAGGATACCTAGCCTTATTTAAACTCAAACTCAAAGTCTTTATTAAGGTAATACATACAGGTCTTATGAAATAACAAGCACAGCTTAACGGCCTTTTTCAGGCGTTAATCCTTAATAGGATAGAAAATGGACAGCAGTTTCAGAAGTCAGATATTTTTGGAAGGAATCACACTAATATTATAAATGTGAAAGTTACTTTATTTGGAGGTTTGTCTGTCAATCACGCTGAAACTACTGAACTGAAACTAATGAAGTTTGGTATACAGGCTGACTTAGGTGATAGGATTATTATCCCGACTAAAATGTTCCCATGGGGTAAAACAGGAATCATATTCTAGACATCGCGGGCAACAACGGGTTTGAAAATAAAACTACAGCAGTATCTATTTATTCTTTAACAACTTACGTTATTTACTTATATATATTACTTTGATATTACTCCAGCATTAGATAGAAAGATTTATTTATTTCTACATCGCATTTTAAATAAGTTTTAGATTTTGAAGTTCAAAAGTATCCGCTTCTTAGATTGACTGATATTGAAATTTGAATTCCATCACGGACTAATTAAAAAAGTAGCAAGCTGATACAATTACTTTTTAATACTCTCAAAAGTGTCCAAGAGTTTATCAGATTTCGATTCTAGACTGTTACTTACACTCATTTCTGACGTAATTTTGCTATTTGCTTCTATTTTACTAGCTGCATGAGTTGGTGTTTCGCAGCTGGACTCTGCAGTTCTGCCTTTATCTCAGGAGACATCACCTCCGACAATCTAAGAACTAATTTGTTCAGCAATAATAATGTATCTGGTTCACTCCTTGCATTCATCTTAATGAATGTGTTATCACGTAAATTATACTTCTTAGGATCTCCATTAGTCTTTATCTTCTTGAATCGCGTCTGTCCGACATTATCGAAGTATGGTCTTATGAATCCTTCTTTCACATATTCTGGACTATTGTCTTCGTCTAATCTTACCGTGTCCTTGTTTAAATCATCGCCATCGTCAGGGAATAATATTGATATTATAGCACTTACTATAACGTCCGCGTCTTTGATTTCGCGTACAGAATGGTCTAGCGCATCTAAATCTCCTGCTTCTACTCTTGGGAGAAGTAAAAGTAAATAGACGAACATATTCAATAGTTTTGTGTGACATCGATCTGTTGTCGCTTAATTGCTACTAGTGATATCAAACTCAGCGTGAAATGTAATCAGGTTTTATTGCTCAGTAGTGTATCATTTCTATTTTACTTTTAGTTTTTTAATGGAATTGATAATGTGATTGTTTTATGCTATCTTTACCTTTTATAAATTTAAAATTGAACTAGCATGCACAAATCTAACACGTTTTTTGTTGTGCTTCTTATTTTTTAATTTTTGAAAACAAAATATCAGTCATCATTGTCAACTGTAAAACTCCAAATTTAATTTACAACATTCGTCTTTTCTTCTCAGCAATCATTTGTAAATGCGTTTACATTAAAGTGTCTAGTATTATTTACTGTTTTAATTACGATGCGTGATTAATAGGGTTTTTGTGACCACTTACGATAATTATTATGATAAAGCACGTTGTGAACAAATGCCGTTCAATTGCAATCACTGTTACACAAATAACTGAACGACTTGATTATCTACTGAAATTCTTTGCTTTGAAATACTAGACCAGTTGATGTGAATAACATAGAATCTATGTTATATGTCCAAATGCATAATCTATGTCATAGATTATGCATTTGGTTTTGTAATGATAAAATAATGTATTTTGTGAATTCAACTTGAGGAATTTCTAAATCTCCTTCTTTATAAATCTAAATAGAATGTGTTGTCTTAAAACTTTGATTACCGATGTCACTATTTGATGAAAATATATTATGATATACATAGTATTATACAGCTTAAGTATTCACAAAAAAACGAAACATACTTGTAGAGCCATCTTTGGATCAACGAAGGAAACATAGTTATATAATTATATTTATAACATTTTAAAAATCTATAATTCTTTTAATAAGTAAATGTAGTTTCAAATATAAAGATACACATACATAGCTTTAGCTAATAATAATTCTATTTCTTTGATTCAATACAGCTCATTATAACTTCACACAAAAGATGTATGGCGTCCTTTTCACTATCATCCGTTACACCTCTAATCCCAACCCTTTAAAAAGCCCCTAAGGGTCAAGACTTGTTAATTCGAAGGGTCACTTCTATTGACAAATTTCTGACCAATCCCTGTTTTTTATAACCTCACACTATTGTCCGAAATTGGTCCAGATGACCCCTGGTCGCATTTCAGTGTTATTTGATAAGGGTCAATGGGAATTGAATGAATGGTCAGTATAAAGAGTGGGGTAAGATTGACCCCGTCTGGGATGGGAAGGTTAAAATTTATTATTAGTCAAGAATATGTTGTAATTTAAGACGAAACTTGATCTTTGATTTACTTGTAAATGTGCTGACATAGTATATTCTTTATTATAATACTTATTTTTTAAAATTAAAAATTCATTACTAATACAAATGCGCTCTTAAGGTATGTATTCGTTACCATCGTACTCATCATTATTGGGCAAAGGATCAACAACATGGATGATAATAATTCTAGCACGGTTTTTAGAATCTACACCACCTTTGGCAGCCTTCTTCAAGCCAGTCCTCGAAACATGCAGTCCAGTAACTTTATCTCTGTGTATCTTCTTAAACCTCTTCAGTCCACTATTCACGAATTTGGGCAAGTTCTTCAAAATGTCCGCTGGTATTTTACTTGACGGCTTTTTAAAAGGTTTCGGCGTAGTGTTTAAAATTATCGGGTACTTCTTCGGCCCTAGCATGCCCATAGAAGGTTGTGGAACCACCCGGAACCGTGCCCGTTGTCTCAAAGTCTTCACATCTCTTGGAAAATTTAGAAACAGATTTTTTATTACTTCATCATCAATGCTCACTTGTTTTATAGAGAATTCTTTTATTAACAAGTTCGCTGCGTCTATCATTGGTAGTATCAGAAGCAAATGTAGGAACATTTTTGTTGGAATTGTATGATTTCTATTGGTAGGTTTAGTAAGATTGTTATTGTTCTTTAGCGTGAAATTTGATCAGTTTTAGCTGTCGTGTGATTGTCTGCTAGTAATTTCCAATTATGTTTTAATGTACAAATGGTTTACATTTCATTCTTGTCACTGTAGTTAGAGGATGGGTGAATATATGGAGGTTTAAAACGATCGTTTTTCGTGCATGAGGGTGCAGGTTCGAAACCTATCGACGGCAAGTACCAAAGTGACTTTTTCCGAGTTATATGTACTTTCTAAGATTATCTAAACACCACAAACATACGGTAAAGAAAAACATCGTGACGAAACCTGGCCTTATAATTTCTAATTATAATATTGTAATCGCCAACCCACACTGAGCAATCGTGGTGGTTAATGCTCAAACCTTCTCCGTGTGAGAAGAGGCTTTGCTCAACAGTGAGCATTTACAGGCTGTTGATGAGAATGATGGATTCTGTGTTCAAAAATGAATTGTTTGTATTAATCATTTAACGTTGAGGTAACAACGCATTAAAGTTGCCCCTGCCACTACTAACACCTTTTAAATGAAGTAAGTCATAATTGGCATCTTCGCCTTTACATTCCATTTTATGACTTAAACTGTCAAACACCAAGCGGTCACCGGTGACCGCGACCTATTGTTCTTTAATTGTGTCTATAAAACCGGTACTCGACGAGTTAATTGAGCACGATCTAGACATTTATCTTCTACCTGAGAATATTTTTAATAACGTTTTACAAAATATAGCCATCATAGATTCGAATGTTATTTTTATCTAAAACTCAACCGTCAGCTGCTGCTGGTCCCAAAGTAACAAAAGATCCAAGGACCGTTATACGTGCAAAGTTTTAATTGCCAAAATTTGCATAAACGCCTCTAGGAGCGTTTGCAAAAAATATAAAGGGACAGTGGGATGATTGATTATAAGTGGTCATACTAGCAAAGGGGAAGTGTTGCGACTTGCGAAAGCTTCTTAATCTTCTTGTTTTGTTTCGCAAAAAAGTGTGAAGGAATTACTGGGTCCAGTGCGCAGTGGTTGTTTGGAGATGTTCCTTTGTGTGAAGATGAATTTTTGATTATGGAATTCATTATTTTTTTTGCTAGGACTGGACTAAGAACGCCATACATTATGAATGTTTGTTGTCTGTCTTAGGTTATGTTAAATTTAGCTTCAGATAAATACATTCAATCATAAAGGATGTCGCAGGCTTACCTTTGTAGTATTCATAGAATTAAATTTATTTTCTGAAGAACTATTTTGCCTCAATGCGAGACATGATGAACTGACTATAGAGGTCTTAAGAAAAAACTTGACAACCACTAAAAATCCATTGTCTGAAGCGTTTAAATCCGTCTTTGTAATGACTAAAAGAACACGACCACTAATCTCATTCGCGACAAGTCAGCTTCCGAGTCCCACGTCCAAAAAAAACAAAGATATTTAACAATAAACGTCCAAATTACCATAAACAACGCATCACAAGACGGTTGGAACCAGTCGAAACCGGTTTTATCCGGAAATTGTCGGATCCTATAGTTCCGTGACACCGCTCGACAATTGTTCCCTTTGTTTTCGTAACTTTTTTTTGTTACCTGCGGATCTGACCGAAGCGTCGCAGTTGGAGGGTTAGCCGATTAATAGTGAGAAGATCAAACAGGGTCATCTTTGTGATGGACTCTGAAGGGTTAGATATTGTTATGATCTTAATAGCCGGATGTTAGCAAAACGGGGTTTTGTTTGGGAATATTAATTGCAATTTTTGGCGGGTCTTCTCATGAGAGCGGGGCTTATACGTCAAATTTATATCTGAAGATACAGTAGCCAGTAGGCTGGCCGTTAAGGAATAATAGTAAATGACATTAATTACGACATTTTTTTAAACATAGACATAATTACCCACACGTTTAGTAAAACAGTAATTTTTTCTCCCCATTTTCTTGTACAAACTGATAACGAAATGAGCTTCAAAGGTGCGAATCGTTGACCTCAATTCCTAGTTTATTAACATTCTTAAAAACCAAAAACAAACGAATCTGAACCTTACCTCTAAGTTCATAAGAGATACATACTTAAATTTTGGTGTAAAATGTAACTTTGTAATAACATCGCAGCACATGTAATTGTACACTCAACTTCAGTACGATATCTTTGCAAGCTTAATCGTGCAGTTAGCTTAAACCTTACATAGACCAACACAAGAACTATTTTCCTATGTACTAGTGGTAAATATAGTGGCATTAAAACATGCACTTATCGTAGTAACATGTCACTTTATCAGTACGCTTCAGTGAGCTAAGCAGATGTGGATTTGGTAAAGACAACTGCCTAACGTGCGGGCTATTGATTTTTCTTCTATTTTTATTTATTTCTGTAACGGTCTTTATATTTTTAAAGGGGTGATAGGCTACCTAAGTAGTCATTTTTTTGATGTTATATAAGCATATGATAAGTAGGTATAGAGATATTTCTATGCTTTGGTTAGCTAAAATATTCAAATTTAAATCGTTCAATCATGCTTTAACTGATAAAGAAGTCGGACCTGAAATTAGGAGATTCTTTTTAAGAGCATCGTAAGAGTCGACTAAAAATCTACACATTTGATAGGGTTAGCGCAGCAGCAGCTCTCGGATAAACCAACCATTTAAACCGCAAGTGAAAACAAGTGAATTTGTTCCTGCAAATAGGCTACAAGGCAGCACTTTTACACGTCAATTTTATCAAGCCAACGATGCGTCGACATTTCCATACAGAGGTTCATCTCTTTTAAAATCCAAGTCTTACGATCTCTAAGCAAGCCTTCCTTCCTTCTGCCAAGCATGGAAATTGTGGCAAAACCTCTATGTAGAAAAGACTCGCAGACCCAGCAGCGGGCTACCACGAACTGCCAGGCTATTTATTCTGTGACTGTCAATTTGAACTTTCGAAGTAAGCTCGATCGCATTCTCGCCCGTTTTTAGTCGAGTTTATTCTCATAAGTCCCAACAAACAACATGGTGGACTATGATCGACTTCATTTCGATCTTCCGAATTGAAAGTCACAGAATAGCCTCTTTAGGAGGAAGGAAAATCATCCAATGAC